TAAGAAATAGCAAGTTCTATTGAAAAATGTTTAAAGATTACTAATTTAACTCTTAATTTGCGGTAAATTTTTTGAAATTTAATAGTGAAAATAATTAAAAAACAAAATATTATTTTGTTAACTTAATTTAATAAGTTCACTTATACATTTACTATTACGAAATTAAAAATATCTTTTATTTAGTTCTAATGAAATATAAGACGAAGGAGCTCAAAGTATTTCAGCCACTCTGGAAAAAGGCTAAAATATTACTGAATTATATCTTAATTTAGAGTATTTTTTATTAATTTTATTTTATTAAATAAATATAAAAGACATAACTCATATTTATATTTAAATATTTTTAAAGGCCTTTAAATATTTCATTAAGTTTTTTATTTATTTAAATTTTAGATAAAATAAGATAAGTATGAAAGGAATTAATAATCTAATAATGGCTTTAGAAAGAAGTCAAAACATCATCAAATTATATTTTTATTTAAAGTAAAATTCTTATATTTTCATCACTTTTAAATTGTATTTAATAAATAATTAAAGATATGAAGATGATAAGCATGTCTCAATATGCTTTAAATGATGAAATTATTCAAACAGACAAAAAATATATCATAATTTATCTGTAATATTATAAATCAAAAATATGTTAATTATAACACAAAAAATATTTGTATGTTTTGTTGAATTTTAATCCAGTTAATTCTAACTAATATTTTGTGTGTGGGTGAGTTAATTAACTAATTAAAAATGCTAATCTATTCTTAACAATTAGATAAAATAAATAAAAATACAGCAACTTGAAAAATTTCAACCCTCATCCACTGTAAAATTTTAGTTTTTTACTAAATAAAAATGAATTATATATTATTTGTTATAACCTAAAAATACAACAATATGTATTAATTTTATTCAATATTTATTAATAATGTATTCAGATATATTATAATATATTTTTAAAATATTAAAATATATTTATTTTAATTTATATTATTTTATATTCATAAAGTACACTTATATTTAACCAATCTATCATAATTTATTTATATAATAATTATTTATTTTTTAAATAAGCTCATCAAAATATATAGTAAATTAAGCTAATATTTTATTGAGTTGATTATTTGAACTAAATATTTACTAAATTAATACTTTTTTTAATTTATTAATCATATATTAAAAATAATTCAAGTTATTGCTAAATCGATGGCAATGGTGCATCAAATTTGGCAACTGCTTTATAAAAGTACTCAAACATGTCGAAATTGACTGTCTATCTAAAGTAATAATTATTGTTTTTATTTATTACTATTTAAATCTTTTTCAAATACCTTTATTCTGTTATTTTTTTATTTGGTTAGCTTTATTGATAAATATTTATAATTCTTGAGTTTTTAAACAAAATTTATTATTTTTTTAATTGAATCCCTCTTTCTTATTTATTTTTATATCATTTAAAAACTTATTATAATTATTTTAAAATCAATAATAAGATTGGCAATATGTATATATGTATCAGATTTATGCTCTGCTTTTAAAAAGTGATTAAACTTTAAATTTATCTTTTGATATTATGTATAAGATAATTTTTTTTCTTTATACTATTTTTTAATGATAAAAAGTTTATAATAAATAATAAAATACATTTAAATAATAAGATTAGGTTATTTTATCAAAAATTTTGTATTTATAGTCATTTTTTTAATTCCATATTATTGCTTTTCCAAGTAAACAAGACAAAATAATTTTTTTTTAAATAAGAAGAAATTAAATTAATGAATGAAGAATTAAAGTTTTAAATGAAAATGGAAGTTACTAAAACCAAGAAAGATATTATTTACAGAAATCCTTTTTTTTTGAAAAAAAATTATCAATAGATATATTAATTATTAAGCTAATAAATAATCTTTAATTTTTAATTATTTATATTATTTAGCTGTATTTAGTATTCAAAAGTGTTTAATTTACAAAACCATTTATTTTTTTAATTTTTTACTTATTTCATATTTGTTTTTTGTTTTAAAAAACCAACATAATTAAGCTAAATAAATTAATATTTTAAAAGTATATATTGACATATGTTGAAATTTATTTTTAGTTTAGAAAACTAGAAATCTAATATTTATTAATCTACTATTGTTATTTTTTTGATTAACTCTATTATAAATTTAGTATCATTAATATGAATGTTCTAAAAAAAAAGTATTGCATCTATTTTTTTTGTGTTTAGTTTTCATAAGAAGAAAATCAAAATAAAATCAGAAATTGAAATGATTATTTACATAGATTTTAATTAAGAGAACTACCTGTAATATTATATTAAAAAAGAAGTTTGCATATTAATTTTTCTTCATATAACAAATTGTGTTAGTAGAATAGTAGATAAATAAATAGTTAACCAAAAGCGTCTAATTTAGTTGAATTGCATAAAAAATAGCAGAAAAGTTTATTTAGGCATAGAATAATTAAAAAAAATAGGCTTTAAAGAAATTCTCAAAGTAGATCAAGCAAAGTTTGTAAACATAAATAAGATCATTGAAGAAAAAATGATTCTTGAGAATATTCAAAACTAATTTTTCAATATTCTCAAAATTTTAGTTGGTAAAACAACAACATTAGAGCAGATAGCAATGAAATATGAATTGATTTATAAACTGCTATAAACTTAAACCCACTCAGATTAAATGAGCTCCCTCCATTTTTAATCTTGCAAAGATAAGGATTAATTTTTCAAGATAATCTAATCATCAGAGATGTTAAAAAATCTTAGAATAATATTGCAATTAACACTGATAATGCCTCGATTAAAAGTTTAACTTAATAAATTAGCAGAAAGAATTACTCATTTAACTGAAATTAAGCTTTGCAAGAGTAAGATTTCTACATATTCTAATGTTTATTTTGATTTTATCATATTTTTTAAAATAGCGCTTTTACCAAATATCTTTTATAACTTATTAAAGCTGATTACTTATTCATTTAATCATCAAAAATTCCTTTTTAAATAAAAACAATAAAAAAAAAATTTGCCAATCATATCATATGTGAACATTCATTTCATTTAACAATAGTTAACTAAATCTAATTTTAGTATAGTTAATATATTTTAAATTTAAGAATTCTTTCAGTATTAATATAATATAAATTATTCTCTATCGATTATTCAATAAGTCATTAAATTTTAAGAGGGTTTAATAGTTCAAAATTTAAAAATAAAATGTAAATTTTTATTATTTCATATATGGTTATATGGCCGAATGATAAAAATGGTCATACGGTCGATCCCTAATTAAAACTAATAGATATAAATAATTAAATATTTAATATAACAACACAAAAAATGAAAATGAAATTTACTTATTTTTTACTCTTTTTATATCTATTTCAATTTGAAAGATTCTTGTTTATAAATTTATTTGTATTTAATAATGTAAAGTGACCATTAATCTATATAATTCATAATATTTTTAAAATATCAGGTCTAGTTTAAATTATATTCTTTTTGTCTGTCCAAAATTTTTTTGGGAGAATAAGTTGATTTTTTTAAGATAAATATCAAAATAAATAAATAAATTCTTTTATTACATATATTATTTTTAAGCTAATTATTATCACTCATAAACAACATTATGATTCATATCAAATTTTAAATATTAAAAAATAGGCTTTTTATTATATTTTTATTTTTATTAAAAGTTGATTCAGGCTTACCCTTTCTCCATAGCAGAATAAATGGCTTTTAAGCTAAGGATGTAATTCTTTTATTATTTTAAATATATTTTAAACAAATAATTGCCTAAATAGATTTATGAACTAGTTGTTAAAAGACTATTTAGGTTTTCAAAACAATTTATTTTAAATATTTTTGCAAAGAAATAATTCTTTATTAAAATCATATTTATATAAATAATTAGCTAAATAATAAATAGTATAAAGCATCAGCAGCACAACTATAGCTATATCTTACTATTTAAAACTGTTATGTCTCACCATACTAAAAGAAAGATTACCAATACTAAATTACAATCTTAAAAATGAAAAATAATAAGGAACTATCACATGAAATTTTAAAAGAAAATGTCAAATTAAACTATTAAAACAGTTATTGGTAATTCTTTTAAACTTCTAACTTATTAATTATATCAAAAATGTTTTTCTAATTTTAAATAAATACTAAATTATTTTCTAAATATTTTAATATTTTTATTTTAAATTAATTATTTGAAATATTTACCTTAAAATGGATACTTCTATCAATTTATTTCAAAAAAATTATTTTTGTAAATTCTTTTTATAACAATTTTACTAATTTTTTATAAAATTTATTTTTTTAAGTTATCTTCAAATTTTTAAAGAATAAAAAATAATAAGCAAATTCTTTACCAATTCAATATATTTTTATATTTTTATTTATTTAATTAATTAATTAAATTAGCAATATAACTTTAATTTTAATTTAAATTGAAAAGTGTATATTTATTTTTATGGAATAATATTTGGATTATAATTAAATACTCAACATAAACTAATAATTTCAAAAAAAAAACTTTTATTTTAACTTATTAAAATAAACTTAAATTTGAAATAAATAAATAAATTGGAGATAATTAAATAAAAATCAGATAATTAATAAACAGAATAAAAATAAACATAATTCTCACTTATATTTTATTCTATTTATTTTCAAATTTTTTTTAAATCTTTAGTTTTCTTAAAGAAGCAAGATAAGTTAGGAGTAAGGCAGTTTCTAAAACTAATTCATAATTCTCTGTTGATTAATAATAACCATTTAATAAAGAGAATGATACTGAATTAATCATTTAATAAAATAAGTACATCATAAATAAATTATCCTAACCAAAACTAAATAAGTTAAGAAATGCTCTTTTAATTGGATAAAAAGCAAGAATTATTAAAATTTTGTAAAAAGAAAATAAAATATCTAACAAAAACAAATCATTATTGTTTGGAGGTGGTAAAAATATAAAAAATATTGATAGCGATTAAAAAACAATCCCTAAGAAAAATAGAAAAGAAATTAGTTCATTAATAAATACAAATGTAGAAATGAACAAAATTAAAGTTGAATTAAATGAAAATTAAAATGAACAAAATAATTCTAATACTCAATAAGCAGAATATGATGAATTAAATAAAGAACTAGAATAATTTTTTAAAAATTGGCCCAAGTATATAGAAATAATCGATTCAAGTTTGAAAATGAAAAAATAAAAAATTTTAGATGAATAAAAGGGATAATAGCCTTAAAGAACTACAATTATCTCATAATCATCATAAAAAATTTTTCAGTAATCAGACTAAGGTATTTACATTTCTAAATCAAATACATCTTGTTAATTTGGATAAAAAGGTGTTGAGAGATATTAATCACTAAAAGATTTTATAAGTACCAAATAGTACTATGAAGAAAATAAAAAGAATTAACCAATTTAAAAAAAAAAAAATCTTGATTATGATTCTGAGCAATTTTTAAGATAAATATTTAAATTAGGCGATCATATCAACAGTGGAGGGGAGGCAGATATATTTACAAATCAAAATTATGACTATATAGTATATAGAGTAATTAAATTAAATGGAGACGAGGATTTAAGGAAATAAGAAAAAGAATTATTAAGACTTTAGGAATTATAAGAATAAAATATTTTTAATATAGATAGTTCTCATCTAATAGAAGATAAAATTAATCATACTAAGTATATCATTTACGTTATGTAAAAATGTAAAATGAGTCTTCAAGATGAAATATTATCTAAGAAAGTTTTTAGTCTTAGAGAAACTTTAAAATTTATTTCTACTTCATTTCATTTATTGATTGTACTTAGATAAAAGTATATTTATCATTCAGATATTAAACCAGGAAATATCTTAAAAATTGATGATAATAATTACTAATTATCTGATTTTGGTGCTTCATAGTATGTTGATTTTATTGATCCTTTTTGTGATTTCGAAATGTATACACCTAGTTTTACACCATAAAAAAAAGAGAAGAATTTACCTTTTTATCATGATATCTATTCTTTTGGTAAAACTATCCAAAAGTTATTAATTTAATTAGAAAATCAATCAGAAATTTCTGATGAGTTAAATAAATTTATAAAAGAAATTTGTAAAGATGATGAAAATTCTATTAATCTAGATTGCTTTAAGTTGCAAAGAAAGTTTATAAATATTTTAATGGAATTTACTAATGATGAAGTTATTAAGGCATTCTTCGAGGAATATTTAAAATAGATAGAACAATACTTAGTCATCAAAAAAGAAAATAGAGTATTTCAGTATGAATCATAATATATATATGCTGAAATAGCTCTTTTGATCATTTTAAAAAGTCAATTTAGCAATTAGCAGAGTCAGTTAACTTCAATTAAAATTAAGGCAAAGGCACTGATAACTCAAAGTTATATTTTATGTAAAAGAAAACAATATAAAGAATCTCTCAAATATATTAATGAAATTTTTAGAGAAGATTTTAATGATAATAGTTAGTCAGAAATCCTAATAAAATCAATTAGAATTGTAACTAAGATCTTAATAAAATTAAATAATAAGATAAAATTATCTTAAGAAAATTAAAATAAACTGATTGATTTAATTAAATTAGCTAATATAGGTGAAGAATTTGATAAATTAAAAATAAAGATAACAGAGCTTCTATTGCTAAAATCAGATCATATATATCCAATCATTACAGATTTTTATGATACTCTAAAAATATAATTAAAAAACTAGGAGTTTGATATGGTTTATAGGATAATTATAAAATTGATTAGGTATTTAAGAAAATAAAATTGTTATGACTAATCTCTTTACAAATTAATTTAATTTATTCAAAATGATTAAACGAATAAGGATTCTTATTACAAATAAAAATTACTCAAAGAAATGGGCTTCTATCTTTACAAATTTCTTTTTTAAAGAGATGAATAGCTAGACATTAAATTGTTTGTTAAATATGAAAAAGAAATGTTACTCTTGCCATAAATTATTTATAATTGCTTGAATGACCTTAAGCTAAAATCAAATTTATAAATTTAATTTGATAAAAGTATTTGGTAATTATATTCAATATTTATAAAGCTATAAGAATTAAATATTTATAGCTTTGATGAATGCAAGGATATTTTAGATAATTTAGAAAAAATATATAAAATTATAATGGTTAAAATAAAAAAAGATAACTAATTGCCATATTAAGAATATGATTTATACAACAAACTTAATTATTATGAAAAGTATCTTAAAAGAAATAATATAAAAAACTATTAGTTTTTTAATGAAGTAAAAAACTATTAGTTTTTTAATGAAGATGAAATTAGAGACAAAGAAAAACAAATAATTTAATCAATAAATCTTTTTTAATAAAACAATTTAAATAAAAACATATAAAATCAAAATTTAAGAAATAATGAGATATGTTAAAATAAAAAAGAAACAATCAGCTTGCTTAATTTCATACCATACTTTGAAAGCGAATAAATAAGTCTAAAATATATAGGTTCTTTGGAAAAATACAATGAAGAGGTGGAATCATTTGATTTTGATCTCAATTTTTATAATATAATATAATACCATCAAAAAAAGTAATTATTTAAATTAAAATCGTTTTGCTTATAAAGAAATTTAAATTTATTTATTTTAAATAATTTTTTTTGTCAATATTTAATTTTAGTTATTATTAAATTAAAATAAAGCTTGCATGAAAAAAAGAAGATTTTTGAAGAAATTACGAATTTGAATATTGAAATATAAGATGAATATAAAAATAAATTTAGCTATTAATTTGAGAAGGAAGAATCTTTAACTTTAAGAATATAGTAAAATTATTTGGTTAATTTAATTCAATAATTAATTAAATTGTATAAATAAATTATATAGTTTTAAAAATTCTTCATATTTTTTAAATTTTAAATATTTAACTAAATATTAAATAAATTTCATGATAAATTGCTCAAAGGCAAATTTATTAAATTATTTTATTTTATTAAATAAAATATTAAAGTGAGTTTAATGATAATAGCTTATTAAATAATCGATTTTTTACTTTTCTTACATAAGATTTGAGAAAAGTGCAAGCTCTCAAATTCAAATACCAGTAAGCAATTCTGTTTAAAGATTAAATTAATTTTTTTTATTTAAATATTATTATTCATAGGAGTCCGAGATAAACTAGAAATTTTTTGTAAGCTCTCAAATTAAAATCCCAGTAAACAATTCTGTTTAAAGATTAAATTAATTTTTTTATTTAAATATTATTATTCATAGGAGTCCGAGAGAAACTAGAAATTTTTTAACATTGGATAAATATAATTAAAATTTTATGAAAACTAAAATTCTAAAAAGCATCACTAAATTAACACTTGATTATAGGTAATTAGTTTTATTAAATTAGATAGTTCTCAAATTATATTTTTACTTTTCTTCATTTGTAAATAAATATATAATAGATTTTTTAAGTTTGGTACATATTAGGTGTCTAAATTATTATGAAATTATATAAATTTTTAGCAATTTTTTTATTAAATATTAAAAAGGACCAGTAGGTCTATGAAAAAAAATTATTACCAGTATTTTAAAAATTATGTTTATTTTATTTTCATAATTATAATAGTGAATAAAGAGACTCATATTAAGAGATAATAGATAATAATTATTTTAAAGATTCGTTTGAAGATTTTAATTAGATGTACCCAAGAATTACTGAATTAAATATTATTTGCTCCAAGTAAATTTCACTTTTTCAAAACAAAATAATAAATTAATATTAGTATTCATACTTAAATTAACAACTTAACTATTTAAAATTATTTGAAATGAAATAATAAAAAATTAATAATTATGGTACTTATATTATTGTCAAAGCTATTATTAAATTAAGCCATAAACTATAGCAATAAATTTAAGCTGATTTTATTAAATACTTAAAATTTAAATTCAATGAAATAGCATTAATATAATATATAGGAGAAAGAATGATCTTTAGTAGGGTCTTTAAGACATTTTTAGTTTATTTAATAGAGAAAGAAAACCTAAGTCATTAAACTTTGAGTTAAAGTAGTTTCAATTTTAATCTTTCTATTTATTTTAAAAGGTCTAAAATAATTATTTTATATTAATTAAAAAAATATTTATAATGGCAGGTTTAAAGATAATGAAATGACTAAATACATTTAAGATGTCCTTAAAAAAATAATTAAATTTTTAGTGGATCAAGATTGTATAAAAATTAGTCTCTAGAAAATTACTGATATTGAACTTAATATAAAGTAATATTCTTATAATTATTTCAGTAAAATTTAATTTTACTAAATTTAAAACAGAAAAAAAAAAACTGTGATTTCAATTAATTTAACTCTTTTACCAAATAATTTTTGAGGTTTTGTTAGCATTAATAAAAATTGTATTTAGAGTAAAATTAATTAATTAGACTCATTTTTTCATTTAATTATTTTAATATATTTAGTTTAAATTTTATTTCGTTTATTTTTATGGATATAAATTAATAAATAAACCTTAATAATCATAGTTTTGAAGTTTTGAAAGAATTTAGAAATTTTGAGGATATTATTTCAAATATTTAAAAACCAGAGTAAAATCTAGATTACATAAAGAGAGAATATTTATTTTAAGAGTAATCTTAGTTTACTCTTAATAAAAACGATGCATTTAAAATATTGTAACAATTTCTTTTATCCTATTATAGTAAAATAATAGCTTTATTGACTGCTTTCTTTTCTCATATATCACTATTATTTGTTTAATGATTCTTATTTTCTTTTTCTTTTGAAAACCAAAAATTTAAGAGAAAAAAAGTTTTGCTTTATAATATCTGACATAACTGAAGACTATCTAGATCAAAGCAAAAATATTACTTAATTAAATATTACTTCAAGGTAAAAATATATTTTTTAATTTATTTTGATTTTAGTTAGACAGTAGATGAATCAATATTTTTCTTTAATTAAAAATATATATACCAAAATTAAAAAAAAAACGATTTTAGAAGTCCAAATCAATTAAAATAGATTGCTCTATCATCAGAAATTGACATAAAATAATATAATTTTTAAGTTGTTAATCACATTAATTTTGTTGAACTTAATAAATATTAATTTTCATGCTATTAAATAAATAATCAAAAATATATATTTAAAATATGAATAGTTGGCAAAATATTTATACAAGTACAGCTCAAAATATTGCTCAATATTTATAAACAAAACAATAAAATTAATACAAGCTTAATCTAATGTAATTAATATAAAGAAATTATTTTTTCTAAATTAATTAATTATTATTTACTTACTATTAAAATTCAAATATTAGAGTACTCCCTTATATTTTTATTTTCAAAATTTTATTTTTTACTCTACTTATTTTAATATATTTAAGGTTGGTATACTTTGAAATATCAGTGTATATATAAAACCTTACTTAGTTAACCTTACATTTTTTATAAAAATAAATTAAAATAAGTGTCCAAGGTAGCTAATTATTTAATGAAGATTAATTTTTTTAAAAATTTGAATAAATCAATAAATATGTTTAAAATCATGTCCTTAGCTTTAAGTAAATTAATTAGCTAGTTAATTAATTAATTCATCTTTTGATTTATATTTTTTATTCAATATTTTTTTAGGTAAAATAAAGAGAGTATTGAAATAGAATAATTAGATCTTCATTTAGAGTAATTTATTTATTACATAATTCATTCTTCATAAATTTTAATAAATTTTATAGATTTAATTTTTGTATATTTTTATTTAAATTATTTAAAATATTAAAAAAGTTTCAATATAATATGCTTAGAGGCAGCTACAGTTATTAAAAATATGTTGCACAAGTTCAAAAGTAATATCAAATTAAATCATAACTTCAAGTAAAATAAATAATTATCAATACTATTCAATTTTTTTCTCATTTTTTATTATTTTACATTTTAAAAATAAAATAATAATTAAAATTAATAATTTTGATTTTTTCTTTAGTTCATGCAAAATATTTGATTTTGAAACTTTTATGAGTTCTACAGATAAACCTGTAAACATTTTGAAAATTGATCTAAGCTAAATGTAATTTTCTTAAAATTTATCCCTTATTTTTTCTTTATTTTTTGAACTTATATAATAAATAATAAAATCTAATAGAGAAAAAGATATTTAAGAAGCTTAAGAGATTGCAAGGACTCTAGCAAAGTGCTAAAATGCCAGTTCATTAAGTTTTAAGCTTTAGTAGAAATCATTAAATTATTTTAAAGATATTTTTTATAGATTTCTAATTATTTTTTTAAAAATTTAATAATTTTAAAAAATTAAATCTATTAGTTCTTTGATGGCAGAACAAAAAACTAAAATTATTGCAAACAGTTTGGAAAAATTTGAAGAAATAACTGAATTAAGTCTTAGTTTATCGTATTCTTTTAATTTAATCTTCTTAATCTTATTGGTAGTTTAAATAATAAATCTATTTTATTATTATCAATTTATTAAATTTAAATTAATTATTTTTGCATAGAAATAAAATTGGTATTTAAGGAGCTAAGTATATTTTAAACACTATTAAGCACTTTAGAAAAGTTACTTAATTAGATATTGATTTAAGGTAATTTAACATTTTAGTTATCAAATAATTTATTTTTAACCTCTTTTCTTATTTTATTTAATTCAGAATATTAATTTAAAAATTAAATTGATAGTAATATATTACAATTTTTCTTTATTTATTTTTAGTAAAAATGTTTTTATTTTCAAAAATTTAAATAAAATAAATAAAGCTATTTTTTAAAATTTTGTACCAATTAATTTTTTTAGTCATAATTCAATTAATGTAGCAGACATTAAACATATTGCTAATTCATTGTAAAAGCTCAAAAATCTTTCATAATTACATCTTAATTTATCGCTAGCTTCTTATGATTTAAATTATTTTAAAATTAAAAATCCTAATAATTTGATAAATAAATATTTTTTTCAAGCTATCTTTTTTCAAATATTAGCTTTTTTAATCATAAATATTTACTATTTTTATAATAAATAGCTAAAATTAAATTGATATACTTTTTTTAAATTTAATTAGTTAGAATAATATTAAAGATGAAGGAGCAAATATTCTAGCTAGGTTTTTGGAAAAATTTGAAAACATGACAGATATAGAACTTGATTTAGCGTAGTTTTAATTAAAATTAATTGATTTTTTTATTGAAAATGATTTTTCTTTTATTTTTGAATTACTTTGAAAACTTTTAAAATCAAAATTAATTTTGTTAGTGGAAATGATATTTCAAGTGAAGGAGCTAAGAATATTTCAAATGCTTTGAAAAAATGTAATAAAATCACTGTTTTAAAGATTGATTTTGAGTAATTAATTCCATAAAATTTATTTAACAAATTTGAAATAAAATATTTTTAGATAATTAAATTCACTTAATAGGAATTTTATTTCAAAATTTAAATAATTGCTTATAACTTTAATCTACTTTTAGTGATAATTAAATCGATGGTGAAGGATTCAACAATGTTATTAACATTATATTTAAATGTTAAAAAATCACTAATGCTTATCTTAATTTTAAGTAATTTTATTTATAATTATTAAAAGTAAAAATAAATTAAATTTTTAAAAACTTTTAATAGATATTTTTAAAAATCAATAAAAAGTAAAATTTTTTAAATAATATTTTTAGTTTTAATAAAATTGATGAGAATGTATCTTTGAATATTGAAAATAAAGATGAAAAATCCCATAATATTACTTAATTTAATCTTTACTTGAGGTAAAATTTATTTATCCTACAAAAAATAATTTGTTTTTTAATTATTTTAATTAACTGATTTCTTTTCTACTTCTAAGTTTAAATAAAATTTTATTTAGATATAATACAATCAGTATTTAGTAAGCTTAGAATATTATACATTGTCTAAAAAGGTTTAATAATCTATAGAAACTAATTCTTCACTTGCCTAGTAATCTTGGAAAAGACCAAATTTATAAAATATAAAATTTCTTATAAAATTGTCAAAGTCTCACTGAAATAATTCTCAATTTAACGTAGTTTCTTAAATTGGTTTGTTTATAAAATAGTTTTTGTAATTAGTTTGAAATATTCAATTTTAGGTATACTGAAATTTCTTTTGAAGGGAAAAAAAATAATTTTTATACTGGAGATGTCACACATTTAAATATCTAAATTTTGTAATACTTTTGAATTTACTGTTTAATTTTTTAAGTTAAAATTAAATAAAATATTTTTAAAGGGATTATTAAATAATCTCTGAAGGTATAATCAGTATTATTAATGCTTAGGAAAAGTGTCAAAGAATTAGAAACTTAAATTTTAATTTAGGGTAATTTTAAACTACAATTTTATTTGATTTAAGCATTTAAATTAAAAAAAACTATGCAAGTTTGCTTATTCATTTTTATTACTTTAAACAAATATCTGAAGTAAATTCGAATTAGGGAGTGAAATTTTAGCAAGTTATTTTTGGAATAGTGAAAATATTAGTGAATTAAAACTTTAATTTGATGGGTAACTTTCTTAGTTTTTAATTTTTATCTTTTAAATTAATAAAATAAATAAATTTATTTCTTGATTAATTGATTACTTATAATTGAAAAGCAGTGTTGGAAATCGAAAGCTTCGATATTAAAAAAATGAATAGAAAATAGAAATTAATTTAAAGTTTGTATTAGCTTTTTAATTTTCATTCATTTTATTGGTATCGAAATTTTCTACCAACTCTGTTGAAAAGTAATTTTTATTATTAAAAGTTTAATTATCATATAAATAATGATATTTGCAAATAGTTGAAACAGTATTCAAATTTTACTCAACTATCTCTTAAATTCAAGCAATTTTATACTCAAGCCTTTTTGATAATTTTTTTTTTTAAATAAGAAAAATATTTTGCTAATTAATATTTTAAATTGCTGTTAAAGATGTTAATTCTACTTTACTTTTTATATAATTTTTTTTAAAGGGTTTGGAATAAAAAAGATATCATACATCTTCATTATAATTTATAGAATATCTCTAGTTAAATAGAAAAATTATAAAATCTTACTAGACTGGACCTTGCTTTTTTGTATTTTTCTTTATTAATTTAATTTAACTTTTTGATTTATTAGATACATAAAAATCATACCAACTAACTTAAAAATCACATCAATTTTCTAAATTAAGGAGGGTAAAAGAAAAAAAATACTAACATTTTAAATTTTTTAATAAACCCTTAATATAATGTTGCCTTAATTTATAAATTTTTACATTATTTAAATATAATTTTTATTATAAAAATTAAATTTTTTTAAATATGAAAATATTAAAAAAATAACTTAACTTTTTTTACAAATTTTAACCATAACTTCAACATTAATTTAGAAAAAGAGGTTTTTCTGTTGCTTTTTTTTATAAATTTACCATTTTAATTTAAAAATAATTTAAATATTATCTTTTTAGGAGAAGTATAATTAATGACAAAGGAGCTTATTATATCTCTAGAGCTTTTGAGAAATGTTAAAAAATTACTTAGCTATAACTTAATTTTTGGTAATTAAATAAAGAATCATTATATTTAATTAATTATTTAGTTTTTACTATTTAATATAGTTTTGTTCCTTTATTTGAATTTATTAATATTTGTATAAATTTAAAATAATAAATAATAAAGGTAGAATTATATCACAGATAAAGGAGCTTAAGAAATCGCAAGTGCTATTAAAAAATTTTAAAATATTACTAATTTATTACTTAATTTGAGGTAAACTTTTTAAAATTTAAAAGAGAAAATAATTAAAAAACAAAATGTTATTTTGTAAACTTAATTTAAAATTTCACTTATATATTTATTGCTATGAAATTAAATATATCTTTTATTTAGTAAGAATTATATATAAGACGAAGGAGCTCAAAGCATTTCAAATAGTCTGGAAAAATGTCAAAATATTACAAAATTGAATCTTTATTTAAGGTATTTTTTGTTAATTAAATTTTATTAAATAAATATAAAAGATATCATTCATATCTATTTTTCAATATTTTTAAGTTCTTTCAATAATTTATTAAATTTTTAACTCTTTATTTGTGGTAAATTTTTAAAAATTTAATAGAGAAAATAATTTAAAAACAAAATATTATTTTGTAAACTTAATTTAAAATTTCATTTAAAAATTTATTGCTATGAAATTAAAAATATCTTTTATTTAGTGGGAATTAAATATAAGACAAAGGAGCTCAAAGCATTTCAAATAGTCTGGAAAAATGCCAAAATATTACTGAATTACATCTTAATTTAACGTATTTTTAATTAATTTTATTTTATTAAATAAATATAAAAGATATAATTCATATCTACATTTAAATATTTTTAATTTCTATAATAATTTATTTAATTTTTATTTATTTAATATTTAGTAAAAATAAGATAAGCGAGGAAGGAATTAATAATCTAAAAATGGCTTTAGAAAGAGATCAACGCATCTTAAGATTAAAATATAATTTATGAGTAAAATTCTTAAATTTTCATCTTTTTGAAATTGTATTTAATAATTCTTTAAATAGATGATGATTATTCGGACTCCTGATTATCCTTTGAATGGTGAAATTATTCAAAAAGACAAAAAATATATCTTAATTTATCTGAAATATTATAAATAGACAAATATTTTAAAAATGATACAAAAAATATTTTTTATGTTTTGTTGAATTTTACTCATGCTAATTATAACTTATATTTTTTTGTGAGTGAGTTAATTAAAAAGCTAATATATTCTTAAAAATTAGATAAAATAAATTCTAATAAAAATGCAGCAACTTGCAAAATATTAAACCCCAATTCCCTGTAAGTAAAAATGAATTATTTACTGTTTGATAAACCTATTATTATCATATTACACGATTAGGTAATAAATGTTTAAAGTACACTCACCCTAAGTTGGTTTAAAATAGACCCTTAACCAAACATTTAAAAATAGACATATCTTAATTGGTGGTATATAAAAAAATTTAAAATAAAAAATAAGATGAGGTTATTTTATTAAATTGCTTGTATTAATAGTCATTTCTTCTTTTAAAATCAAAATAGACAAAATAATTTTTTAAATTAAAATAGAAGAAATTAAATTAATGAATGAATGAATGAATGAATGAATGAATGAAGAATTAAAGAAGCTAATAATTTATAATTTTTTAATTATTCAAATAATTTAGATGTATTTAGAGCTCAAAAGTGTTTAATTTACAAAACTGTTTATTTTTTTAATTCTTTGCTTTTTTAATTTCATATTTGTTTTTGTTTTAAAAAGCCAAGATAATTTACTTATATTAATAGTTTAAAAATATTTATTTACCATATTGTTGAAATTTATTTTTATATAGAAAACTAGAAATCTAACATTTTTTAATGTATTTTCATTAGGATTTTGATTAACTATCTTTTAAATTTATAATCACAAATGTGAATGTTGTAAAAAAAAAAGAGTTATGCTTCTATTTGTTTTTTGTTGAGTTATTAGAATAAAAAAATCACAAATTTGTATGATTTTATTCATAGATTTTAATTAAAGAAAATTATATGTAATATCATATTAAAAAAGAAGTTTGCATATTAATTATTCTTCATATAGCAAATAGTTAGTGTTAGTAGAAAAGTAAATAAATAGTTATCCAAAATCACTTATTTAGTTGAATTTCATAAAAAATAACAGAAAATTTTATTTAGGCATAGAATAATTAAAAATATATATGCTTAAAAGAAATTCTCAAAGTAGATCAAGTATTTTGTAAGCAGAAATAAGATCATTCAAGAAAAAAATGATTCTAAATAATATTCAAAATTAGTTTTTCAATATTCTCAAAATTTTAGCTGATAAAACTTCTACATTAGATAGATAAGCAATCAATTTTGAATTTATATATAAGCTGCTCTTAGCTTAAGCTCACTCAGATAAAATGAGCTCCCTCCATTTTTAATCTTGCAACAATAAGGATTAAATTTTCAAGATAATCTAATCATCAGGGATGTTAAACAATCTAAGACTAATATTGCAAATTAAGCTGTAAATGTCTAAATTAAATGTTTTTCTTAACAAATTGGCTGAAGAAATTACTCATTTTATTGAAATTTAGCTTTTTAAGAGTAAATTTTCTCCATATTTTTTGTTACTTATTTTGATTTTATCATATTTTATAAAAATTGACTTTTCCATGTTTCTTTTGTTGCATATTAAAACGGATTACTTAATTCAATTATATAGCTAATATTCTTGAAGTTATTAATTTAATCATCAAAAATATCCTTTTAAATAAAACAATCAAAAAAAGGTTTACCAATCAATATATTTTAAAGAGTGATACTCATTAAAATACACAAATAATATTAAAAAAGAATGAATAAGTTGATTTTTATAATTAAATATCAAAATAAATAAATATATTAAATAATTTAAAAATAAAATATTTGATTACATGAATTATATTTAAGCTAATTATTATCACAATCATAAACAACAAACATTATAATTCAAATCAAATTTTAAATATTAAAAAATAGGCTTTTAATATAATTAATATTTTTATTTTTATTAAAAGTTGATTTAGGCTTACCCTTACTCTATAGCAGAATAAATGCCTTTTAAGCTAAGCATGTAATTCTTTTATTATTCTAAATATATTTGAAACAAATAATTGACTAAATAGATTTACAAACTATTTGTTAAAAGACTATTTAGGTTTTCAAAAACAATATATTTAAATATTTTTTAATGCAATAATTATTTATTAAAATTATATTTATATTAATAATTAGCTGCATAATAAATAATATAAAGCATCAGCAGCATAACTATAGCTATCTCTTACTTGTTGTTAAAACTGTTATTTCTCACCATACTAAAAGAAAGAAGATCAATACTAAATAACATTCTTAAAAATGAAAAATAATCTAAATCTATCACATGAAATTTTAAAAGAGAATGTAAAATTAAACTATTAAAATAGTTATAGGTAAATTCTTTTAAATTTCTAACATATTAAATCAAAAATGCTTTTCTAATTTTTAAATATTTTAATATTTTTACTTTAAATTAATTATTTGAAATATTTACCTTAAAATGGATCATTCTATCAATTTATTTCAAAAAAATAACTTTTGTGAATTCTTTACATAATTTCAAATTTTAAAAAAATTTTTAGTTTTCTTAAAGCAACAAAATAAGTTAGTAGTAAGGTAGCTTCTAAAACTAATTAATAATTCTCTGTTGATTAATAATAACTATTTAATTAAGATTATGATACTAAGTTAATCATTCAACAAAATAAGCATATCATAAATAAATTATCCTAACCAAAACTAAATAAGTTAAGAAATGCTCTTTTAATTGGATAAAAAGTAAGAATTATTAAAATCTTGTAAAAAATAAATAAAATATCTAACAAAAACAAATCATTATTGTTTGGAGGTGGTAAAAATCTAAAAAATATTGATAGCGATTAAAAAACAATCTTTAAGAAAAATAGAAAAAAAAATAGCTCATTAACAAATAACAAAAAGAAATCATAATTGTTTGGAGCTAGTAAAAATCTAAATAATCTCGATAGTTATTAAAAAACAATCCCTAAGAATAATAGAAAAAAAATTAGCTCATTAATAAATACAAATGTAGAGGTGAACAAAATTAAAGTTGAATTTAATGAAAATTAAAATGAACAAAATTATTCTAATACTCAATAAGCAGAATATGATGAATTAAATAAGGGACTAGAATAATTTTTTTTAAATTGGCCCAAGTATATAGAAATAATCGATTCAAGTTTGAAAATGAAAAAATAAAAAATTTTAGATGAATAAAAGGGATAATAGCCTTAAAGCACTACTATTATCCCATAATCATCATAAACAACTTTTCAGTAATCAGACTTATAAGGTATTTACATTTCTAAATCAAAAAAATATTCCTAATTTGGATAAAAAGGTGTTGAGAGATATTAAACACTAAAAGAAATTATAAATACCAAATAGTAAAATAAAGAAAATAAAAAGAACTAACTATTTAAACAAAAAATAAATCTTGATTCTGATTCTGAGAAATTTTTAAGATAAATATTTAAATTAGGCGATCATATCAACAGTGGGGGGGAAGCAGATATATTTACAAATCAAAATAATGACAATATAGTATATAGAGTAATTAAATTAAATGAATACAATGATTTAAGGAAATAAGAATAAGAATTATTAAGATTTTAGGAATTATAATAATAAAATATTTTAAATATAGATAGTTCTCATCTAATAGAAGATAAAGTTAATCATACTAAGTATATCATTTACGCTATTTAAAAATGTTAAATGAGTCTCTATGATGAAATATTATCAAAGAAAGTTTTTAGTCTTAGAGAAACTTTAAAATTTATTTCTACTGCATTTCATTTATTGATTGTACTTAGATAAAAGTATATTTATCATTCAGATATTAAACCAGGAAATATCCTAAAAATTGATGATAATAATTACTAATTATCTGATTTTGGTGCTTCATAGTAAGTTAATTTTATTGATCCTTTTTGTAATTTTGAAATGTATACACCTGGTTTTAAACCATAAGATAGAGTGAAGAATTTACCTTTTTATCATGATATATATTCTTTTGGTAAAACTATCCAAAAGCTATTAATTTAATAATTAGAAAATCAGACAGAGATTTATGATTGTTTAAATAAATTTATAAAAGAAATTTGTAAAGATGATGAGAATTCTATTAATGTAGATTGCTTTGAGTTGCCAAAAAAGTTTATAAATAAAATAATGAAATTTACTAATGATGAAGTTATTGAGGTATTTTTAGAGGAATATCTAAAATAGATAGAGCAATACTTAGTTATCAAAAAAGAAAACAAAGTATTTCAGTATGAATCATAATATTAATATTCCGAAATAGCTCTTTTGATTATTTCATAAATAAGTTAAGTTAACAATTAGCAGAGTCAGTTAACTTCAATTAAAATTAAAGCATTGATAACTAAAAGCTATATTTTATGTAAAAGAAAACAATATAAAGAATCTCTCGAATGTATTAATGAAATTTTTAGAGAAGATTTTAAAGATAATAGTTAATCAGAAATCCTAATAAAATCAATTAGAATTGTAACTAAGATCTTAATAAAGCTAAATAATAAGACAAAATTATCTTAAGAAAATTAAAATAAATTGATTGAATTAATTAAATTAGTTAATATAGGTGAAGAATTTGATAAATTAAAAATAAAGATAATAGAGCTTCTATTGCTAAAATCAAATGATATATATCCAATCATTACAGATTTTTATGATCCTCTAAAAATACAAGTTAAAAACTAGGAGTCTGAGTTTGATATGGTATTTAGGATAATTATCAAATTGATTAGGTATTTAAGAAAATAAAATTGTTATGACTAATCTCTTTACAATTTAATTTAATTTATTCAAAATGATAAAACGAATTAGGATTCTTATTACAAATAAAAATTACTGAAAGAAATGGGCTTATATCTTTACAAATTTCTTTTTTAAACAGATGAATAGCTAGACATTAAATTTTATTTTAAATATGAAAAAGAAATTAAACTCTTGCCATAAATTATTTTGAATTGCTTGAATGACATTAAGCTAAAATCAAATTTATAAATTTAATTTGATAAAAGTATTTGGTAATTATATTCAATATTTATAAAGCTATAAGAATTAAATATTTATAGCTTTGATGAATTCAAGAATATTTTAGATAATTTAGAAAAAAAATATAAAATTATAATGGTTAAAATAAAAAAAGATAACTAATTGCCATTATTTATAGAATATGTTTTATACAACAAGCTTAATTATTATGAAAAGTATCTTAAAAGAAATAATATAAAAAATTATTAGTTTTTTAATGAAGAAGAAATTAGCAAAAAAGAAAAACAAATAATTGAATCTATATGTCTTATTGAAAAAACAATTTTTATGGATAACAAAAAAAATAAAAATTAAACAAATAATGAGATATCTTAAAATAAAAAAGAAACAATGAGCTTGCTTAATTTCATAACATACTTTGAAAGCAAACAAATAAGTCTAAATTATATAGGGAGTTTGAAAAAATTCAATGAAGAGTTAGAATCACTTAATTCTTAGCTCATTTTTTCTAAAATAATATATTACGATCTAAATAAGTAATTATTGAAATTAAAATCATTTTGATTATTAAGAAATTTAAATTTATTTATTTTAAATAATTTTTTTTGTCAATATTTAATTTTAGTTATTATTAAATTAAAATAAAGCTAAGAGAAGATTTTTGAAGAAATTACGAATTTGAATATTGAAATATAAGGTGAAGATGAAAATTAATTTAGCTATTAATTTGATAAGGATGGATCTTTAAATTTAAGAATATCGTAAAATAAATTACATATTTTTTAAATTTTAAATATATTACTAAAAATTAAATAAATTTCATGATAAATTATTGATTATTTATTAATTGCTCAAAGACATATTTATTAAATTATTTTATTAAATAAAATATTATAGTGAGTTTAGTGATTATAGCTTATTAAATGATCCATATTTTACTTTTCTTACATCAAATTTGAGAAAAGTACAAGCTCTCAAATTCAAATTCAAATTAAAATAAGAATTAGAATAAAAATTTGAATTCAACTAAGTTATGCTTAATTACTTAAATTCATTTTCGTCAAATAATATGATTTCTAATGATTTGAGATAAATTTAAAAAAGTTCTGAAGATGAAGATCATTATTAAGATGGTATCTTATATGAATAATTGGATTTTTATTTTGAATGGCTTAAGAAAACTAAAATTCTAAATAGCATCACTAAATTAACACTTGATTTTAGGTAATTAATTTTATTAAATTAGATAGTTATCTACTTTTTATTCTAAATCATAATTTTACTTTTCTTCATTTGTAAATAAATAAAATCAATATGATTTTATGTATTTAAAATATATGATAGATTTTTTAAATTTGATAAATATTAGATGTCTAAATTATTATGAAATTATATAGATTTTTATTTAAAATAAATTATTTTTTATTTAAAAATCAAAATTACTAATTTCTGGAATCTTAAATTTAATTTGAAAAGAATTTTTATAATCTTAGGCATGACAATTTTACAATTATTACTCTACCAACATTTTAAATTTATTTTAATAAATAGAAAAAATTTTAATTTATTTTATTGATCATAAAATTTTTAAAAGAAAGCTTAAATTAAAAATAAATTAATGAATTCATTTAAGAATTTATTTTTTCTTCTTTAAATAACAATAAAATATGTTCTTTTATTTTAGCAATTTTTTTATTAAATATTAAAAAGAACCAGTAGGTTTATGAGAAAAAAAATTATTACCAGTATTTTAAAAATAATATTTATTTTATTTTCATAATTTGAATAGTGAATAACAATCTGAGTTACGATACTAAATAAATGGATATATATAAACTAAATGTTCTGATTTTAAGAAGATGTGCCCAAGAATTATTGAATTAAATGTTAAATTAGGATGGTAAATTATTTAATATTTATTTTATAGTAAATTATTTACAATTTCACTCACTTTTTTAAGACAAAATAATAAATTAATAATATCTTAAATTAACAACTTAACTATTTAAAATTATTTTAAATGAAATGATTAAAAATTAATAATTATGGTACTTATATTATTATCAAACCTATTTTAATAAAAAATCATGATATTGTTTAATTAAACCATAAACAATACTAATAAATTTAAGCTGATTTTAATAAATACTTAAAATTTAAATTCAATGAAATAACATTTAATATTATATAGGATATAGAACAATCTAACATTTATTTATGATTTTTATGCTTTAGCTAGTAAATAAAGAGCACTTACTTCATTAAAATTTGATTTAAAGTAGTTTCAATTTTATTTTTTCTATTTACTTTAACAGAACTAAAAAAATATTTATAATGATAGGTTTAAAGAAAATGAAGAGACTAAAAATAGTAAAAAATATCTTAAAGAATTGATTCGGACGATAGAGGATTTTGATTATTTAGAAATTAACCCCAATAATTTTATTGATTATAGAGTTGATTAAAAGTAATTTTCTAATAATTATTTCATTAAAATTTAATATTTACCAAAATTAAAAAAAAATAATTGTGAATTCAATTAATTTAACTCTTTTACCAAATAATTTTTGAGGTTTTGTTATTACTAATCCAAAATTTAAGTAAGCAAGCTTTATTTGCTAATTACAAATTAATTAATTAATCAAAGTGAATCAAAATTTAATTTTGAACTTTTTTATATATTTTACTTGAATCTGTAAATTTTGAATAATAATTTAAATAAATTTTAATTTATTAATAAAAACATGATCATTTTATAAGAACTCTTATAAATATTGTAAAAAAATAAAAATATTTTATAGCTAGTATTTATTTAGAGTAAAATTAACTAATTAATTAATTAGACTCATTTTTTCATTTAATTATTTTAAAATATTTAATTTAATTTTTATTTCGTTTAGTTAAATAGATAGATTATTTAAAGACCTTAATAATCCTTCCATTCTTGAAAAATAATTTAAAATGATTTATGATAATATTTCAAATGATCTAAGTCAAAGGTACCAAAAGTCCAATCAAAATTACAAAGAGAGAGAATATTTATTTTAACAATAATTTTTGCATACTTTCATAGACGATAAAATTTTGTAACAATTTCTTTTTTCTTATTTTTGTAAAATAATAGCTTTATTTACTACTTTCTTTACTCATATATCACTTTTATTTGTTTAATCATTCTTATTTTCTTTTTCATCTGAAAACCAATAATTTAAGAAAAACAAAGGTTTTATCTATTATATCTGACATAACTGAAGAGTATCTAAATTAAAGTGAAAATACTAGTTAATTAAATAGTACTTCAAGGTAAAAATATATTTTTTTACTATATTTTGATATTTATTAGTTGACAGAAGATGAATCAATATTTTTCTTTAATTAAAAATATATATTTAAATAAACTAGTTATTTTTTTTACTTTTAATAAATTTGCTCCTCTTTAAATGAAATTTATTATAAATTAGTTTACTCCAAAATTTTAATATAAATGATTTCAGAAGTCCAAATCAATTAAAATATACTCTACCAGAAATTTACATAAAGTAATATACTTTTTAAGTTCTTAATTCACAGCTTTTTTGTTGATCTTTATAAATATTAATTTTCATGCTATTAAATAAATAATCAAATATATAAAAATATTTAAAATATGAATAGTTGGCAAAATATTTATACTACTATAGCTCAAAATATTGCTCAATATTTATAAACAAAATAAAAAAGTTAATTCAAGCTTAATCTAATGTAATTAATATAAAGATATTATTTTTTCTAAATTAAATAATTATTATTTACTTACTATACAAATTCAAATATTAAGGTACTCACTTATATTTTTATTCTTGAAATATTATTTGTGAATATAAAAACCTTAATTATTTAACCTTACGTTTTTATAAAAATAAATTAAAATAAGTGTTCAAGGTAGCTAATTATTTAGTCAAGATTACTATTTTATAAATTGTGATCAAATCAATGAATATGTTAAAAATCATGGTCTTAGCTTGAAGTAAATTAATTAGCAAGTTAATTAATTAATCTTTTGATTTATATTTTTTATTCAATATTTTTTTAGGTAAAATAAAGAGAGTATTGAAATGGAATAATTAGATCTTCATTTAGAGTAATTTATTTATTACATAATTTATATTTCTTAAATTTTAATAACTTTTTATGATTTAATTTCTGTATATTTTTATTTAAATTATTTAAAATATTAAAAAAGTTTCAATATTATATGTTCAGAGGCAGCTACAGTTATTAAAAATATGTTACATAAGTTCAAAATTAATATAAAATTAAAGCATAGCTTCAAGTAAAATAAATATTATTCAATATTTTTTTCATTTTTTTTTATTTTACATTTAAAAAATAAAATAATAATTAAAATTAATAATTTTGATTTTTCCTTTAGTTTAATGCAAAATTTTTGATTTTGAAACTGTTATGAGTTCTATACATAAACTTGTAAACATATTCAAAATTAATCTAAACTAACTGTAATTTTCTTAAAATTTATACCTTATTTTTTCTTTATTTTTTGAACTTCTTTAACAAATAAATTAAAAATTTTTCAATAAACCCTTATAAAAATGTTGTCTTAATTTATAAATTTTTACATTATTTGATAATATTTTTATTCAAAAAGTAAACCTTTTTTAAATATGAAAATATTTAAAAAATTACATAACTTTTTAAACAAATTTTAACCCATAACTTCAACATTAATTTAGAAAAAAGAAGTTTTTCAGTTGCTTTTTATAGATTTACCATTTTAATTTAAAAATAATTTATAAAATATTTTTTTAGTATTGATAAAATTAATGGCGAAGGAGCTTATTATATCTCAAGAGCTTTTAAGAAATGTTAAAACATTAAACTAAAACTTGAATTAGAGTAATTAAATAAAAAATAATTATATTTAAATAATTATTTAGTTTTTCATATTTAAAATACTTTGCTCCTTTATTTGATTTTATTAATATTTGTATTAATTAAAAATAATTATAAAGCTACAATGAAATCTCAGATAAAGGAGCTTAAGCAATCGCAAGTGCTATTGAAAAATTAAAAAATACTACTAATTTATATCTTAATTTGAGGTGAATTTTTTAAAAATTTAATAGAGAAAATAATTAAAAAACGAAATATTATTATTTTCTAAACTTAATTTAAAATTTCACTTACTTATTTAATGCTATTAAATTAATTATATCTTTTATTTAGATCGAATGAAATATAATATGAAGGAGCTCAAATCATTTCAAATAGTTTGGAAAAATGCCAAAATATAACAAAATTATATCTTAATTTAAGGTATTTTTTATTAATTTTATTTTATCAAATAAAGATAATAAATGTAATTCATATCTATATTTCAATTTTTTAAGTTCTTACTGTTTACTTGTGATAAATATTTTGAAATCTAATAGTGAAAATAGTTAAAAATCGAAATATTATTTTGTAAACTTAATTTAAAATTTCACTTAAACATTTACTGCAATGAAATTAAATATATCTTTTATTTAGTGAGAATTAAATATAATATGAAGGAGCTCAAAGTATTTCAAATAGTCTGGAAAAATGCCAAAATATTACAAAATTATATCTTAATTTAAGGTATTTTTTATTAATTTTATTTTATTAAATAAATATACTAAATGTAATTCATATCTAAATTTATTTCAATATTTTTAAGTTCTTTCAATAATTTATTAAATTTTTAACTCTTTATTCGTGGTAAATTTTTTTAAATATAATAGAGAAAATAATTAAAAAACAAATGTTATTATTTTGTAAACTTAATTTAAAATTTCACTTACACATTTACTGCTATGAAATTAAATATATCTTTTATTTAGTTGGAATTAAATAAAAGAGAAAGGAGCTCAAAGCATTTCAAATAGTCTGGAAAAATGTTAAAATATTACTAAATTAAATCTTTATTTAAGGTATTTTTTTTTAATTTTATTTTATTAAATAAAAATAAAAGATATAATTCATATTTATATTTGAATTCTTTCAATAATTTATTAAATTTTTAACTCTATTTGCGGTAAATATTTTGAAATTTATTAGAGAAAATAGTTAAAAAACGAAATATTATTTTGTAAACTTAATTTAAAATTTCACTTACGCATTCACTGTTATGAAATTAAATATATCTTTTATTTAGCTTTAATAATATTTAAGACAAAGGAGCTCAAAGCATTTCAAATAGTCTCTAAAAATGCCAAAATATTACAAAATTAAATCTTGATTTAGGGTATTTTTATTAATTTAATTTTATTAAATAAATATAAAAGATATAATTCAGATCTATATTTCAATTTTTTAAAGTTTTTTCAATAATTGAATAAATTTTGAATTCTTTATTTGTGGTAAATATATTGAAATTTAATGGAGAAAATAATTAAAAAACGAAATACTATTACTTTGTAAATTTAATTTAAAATTTCACTTATACATTTACTGTTATGAAGTTAAATATATCTTTTATTTAGTCATAATTAAATATAAGACGAAGTAGCTAGAATGATTTCAAATAGTCTGAAAAATTGCCAAAATATTACTAAATTATATCTTAATTTAAGGTATTTTTTATTAATTAAATTTTATTAAATAAATATTAAAGATTTAATTCATATCTATATTTCAATATTTTTAAGTTCTTTCAATAATTTATTAAATATTTATTTATTTAATAATTATTAAAAATAAGATGAGTAAGAAAGGAATTAATAATCTAAGAATCTCTATATAAAGAAGTCAAAACATCTTAGAATTATTTCTTTGTTTAGAGTAAAATTCTTAAATTTTCATTTTTTTAAAATTGTATTTAATAATTTTTTAAAAGGTAATGATTATTCAGACTACTGAGTACCCTTTGAATGGTGGATCTTATCAAAAAGACAAAAAAATATATTAATTTATCTGAAATATTATAATGGAAAA